TAAATGTGAAGTTTCTATGACTAGAGTCACTTTTTGCTAAAAAATAATGCCAATTATATATTTAAATTCAATATTATGTTCCCACAAAGCTGAAAAAACAATCGCGTTATTTTTATAGAAAATGTTTTTGATATAGTTGAACGAACTTAGTGGGTAACAATTTTCCACAAAAAAGTTGTTCTCCCTGCTCAGAATTTTGATAATGTGTTCACAGTCTTCCCAAACTACCGAACCAAGCTGAAGAGAGTTGGCAACGGTGACAATTAGTCCTACAGTTTGCATTGTCTGTTGTAAAAAATGTACAATCGGACGTTGGCTAGATAGTAAATTGGTTTAGTTTCAAGTGGCGAATTGATGTTATTCAAGTGAAATATTGTTGAAAGCTACTGAGCACTGTGAGGAACGATCTAGTGATGGAGTAAAAGTGAACGAAATTGTGTCTTGATACAGAAGCAGATCAGGTTAAGGTTATGTACTCTTCAGAAAACAGGTTTTTAAAATTTTATATGAGTGTAAAGAATGGTAATATTTTTTGTTAGTAAAATTGATAAATGTAAAGTTTCTACGACTTTGGAGTCACTTTTTGCTTAAGAATAATCCCAATTATACATTTGAAATTCGATATTATATTTCCAGCAGGCTGACAAAAAAATTCGCGTTATTTTTATAGAAAATATTTTTGATAAAGTTGAACGAACTTAGTTGGTAACAATTTTCCACAAAAAAAGTTGTTCTCCCTGCTTAGAATTTTTAATGATGTGTTCACAACCTTCTCAAACTACCGAACCAAGCTGAAGAGAGTTGGCAACGGTGACAATTAGTCCTACAGTCTTCATTGTCTGTTGTTGAGAATGTATGTCGGACGTTGGCTAGATAGTAAATTGGTTTAGTTTCAAGTGGCGAATTGATGTTATTAAAGTGAATTATTGTTGAAAGCTACTAAGAACTGTGGGGAAGGATCTAGTGATGCAGTAAAAGTGAACGAAATCTATAAAAAATTGTGTCTTGATAGAGACGCAGAGAAGGTTGAGGTTATGTACTCTTCAGAAAAGAGGTTTCTCAAATTTTATATTTCCAAAAGATGAAAATCTGCAATAATTCTTTAAAATATGTCCCTATCTCAAAGTTCTACAGTGTGTGTGCTATTAATTGTAATAGAATATCAGGGTTGGCACGAATTAAATTCATATGAATCAAGTCAGTGATTTAACTCGTGAATTGATTCAAATGACTGAAATGGGAACAAATCGCATCATTACCTTCAATTTAAACTAGTTTTAAATGAAATATCCGATGGCATCTGACAACTGACAACCGTGAAGCACCACACGCGGAAAACAAAATTTTCTAAGAGCCGCTATACAGTTTACAATATTTCATTGCATGCAATGGGGGAGACCACTGATTTTTTAAAATGACATTATCGTGAACTCTATACTGAAAAACTACCAGCGAATTAATTTTGAATTTTGTCATTCATGCTAAGACGATGAAAATAATAAATTAGAATATGTCTATTTCAAAACAAACAATTCCTACGCCATTTGAAATTTGGCAATTCATTGGTGTGACTGGTGCGACGTCTTATTACCAACACGCCTATTGTCCTTGAACTGACCAATCACACTGCAACACTGCAGAATGACGAGGTATCAGAGAGATAGCTACAGTTCGGGACTAATACGTCACGACTCCACCATCATATTTGGCTGTTTGAAATATCGAATGAAATATGCTGATTTCAAAACGATATAGATTCGATTCCCTTCAACTTCAACTCATAATATTGATTGTACATCAGACGTAAATCATGATTCGTCGATTGAAAGAGGTTTGCACGGATTTCTTCTCTCATTGGTCTTCCCCATTGATTGCTCCAATTTATATTTCCGGCAAAAATAATATGTAGGCTTTTCAACACTGAATCGGAATTACCGGCTTGCTTGCAATGTCTTTTTGTCATAGATTCTGTGTATTACTTCTCACCGAGTTTTGAGTTGGGTAGAAGAAACCATGAGAAAGGCAAGAAAAGTAATTTCCAATGTGTATCTAATGATGCGTGAAATTCCGAAAATCTAACATGTCACCACTAGAACTGCATCAGTAATACAAATTACCACAATATAAATAAATATGTCCGGACTCATTTCTAGCAATGCATCGAAAAATTGCATTCCAAGGTGACACCAATCCGTAGGCGCGCCATGGATATTGCTGCATTTTATTGAAAATAACTGTAAAGCGCATCTATAATGAAGATTGTGAATGAGTAATATGATTTGCATTAACACCATTTTTCATTCAATCAATAGTCTCAGTTTATATTGCGTATTTTAAGTATTTTATTGTCACGCTTTGAGATTTTTAAATAGAATTTGATTTGTTCTCAAATGAATTAATTCAAAAAAGTCCGAATTGATTAAAAAAGTCAGACTTTTTTGACTTTTTCATAAAACTCATGACTTATTCCAACCCTGTGGAATATACATATATAATATGTATTAATATGATGCATTTTTTGTTACATGTATTAATTCGTGAAAAAATTGCTGAGATCCTCTCACAGTTGGTGAAAACTGCAGTTCCATCTATAATTCAAAACTTACCAGTTGTATTTCCGTGAACTTATCGATTTTCTTAAGATCCCGATGATGAAGCTTTGCTTATGAATGAGGGGTTTCTATTCAAGGGGCATTCCAATGATAAGGAAGCATCAGGTCAAAAACCAAAATTCAATTTGATATTTTGATGATTAGATATACAATTATTTGTTTTGGTTCATATTTCTTTTTGTTTAATTCCTTCATTCGACATGACCAGATCCATAAAGACTGCTGATTCAATAACTTATCTACTTGAAAATTATCAATGATCTGTCATGAGATTTCATTGAATATACAATTGAAGACAATTTCAAAATTTGTTCACATTTTTGTATTGACCATGAAAAAAATACAGGGTTTGGTATACCTGGAAGGAGTTGGTAGGTGATGTGATTTTGAAAATATTTAACCATATATACTATTATACAATTTTCGCGAGTTCGTCGCTTGAAAATTCGGGGTTGGATGTTACAGAACATCGTTTTTTCAATTCTGACGAGTGAAAAAATTTGTTAATCACATTTGGATCCCATTACGTCTTCAATATAGATGAAATATGTATTCAACTTTCAAATAAAAGAAGAAAAAATCAGATAAAATGTTTGATAAAACGTTGATATCTCATAACATCATAACACTTTGTGTAATATTTTATATGTTAAAATATGTTTGAAATATTCTTACCTATCACCCCCTTTCAGATATACGTCGGTGAACCAAACACCCTGTATACATACAAAATTTCATCTGATATCGTTTCGGAAATATTAATAAATAACCAGATAATGTAGCTCCCATTATTCTACATGTTTTTTCGAACTTTTTTCCAATTTGTACTGCTAATTATCGGTCAATTGGTTTTTATAATCTTTACAAGGAGCAAAATAGTAGATTGTTTTATAAGAATCAAAAGTGACACTTTGTTTGACAAGCCGAGCGAATGCAAAATTGGCGAGTCAAAGAAAGTCACTTTTGATTGGAATGAAACATGCTATTTTTCCTGCAACCGAAACCATTAACTCAAATGAATATGTGAAGTAACCATCAATGCCGCGTCATATGTATGTAATTAAACAAACAATCCGTGTGGTGAGAATATTCTTACTGCATTAACAGCAGGTTTATTCAATTATCAAGGATGTTTGAATTGTAGTTTCAATATAAATACAACCACAGAGTTACATATTTGTGTATGGACAAGGTGCTCTAATGGCAAATACTGCGCCAGTGCCAGGTATAGAACCAAGACGTGAAAAATGTTAGGTTAGTGAGCATATCAACAATAATAATAGGGATTATTCATTTCTCTCCATACTCCACTATGTTTGGCTTGATAATCGAATGGAGGTAAACAATATCGTTGTTTGAGACAAAAAACTATTGCTGGCCGTGATTATTCAAAAACAAGTTATCCATCCTGAGAATAACGAATGAAATACAGATCAAGCAAGTATGTGAATCTTGAAGGCTATAGCTTGAAAACTATAATAAGATGCATAAACAAAACACACTAAGTCATCTCCACAAATTTATCAACTGAATAATCAGTGTCTGAACATGTTTCGGACTATCAATAGTCCATCATCAGCAGAGGCATTTTTTAAATGACAATTTGTGGCATATAGCCAGGAAAGTAGTTGTTTTCTATTGAATTACCTGAAAAAGAGTAAATATTCTCATCACATAGAGAATGCGAATTCTCAATGTATTGCTTTATATAAATATATATCCTTTTTTGTATGTTCATAATTCATCTGAGAATATTCCTTTTCAAGGAGAAGATAATAATATTATGACATAGTACAATTTACATTGTTACAAAAATGAAGGGCAAATCGCCCATGGCCCAAAGGGGGCTTTATAGAGGATCCCAACACTTGTTCATCCAAGTAATCGATGATAAAAAAAACTTTTTTTTTTCATTCATTTTTTTTAGTGTGTCTAGTTTATGAATCTATTCACTCCACTTTGAGATACCATGGACTTTTACCATAGATTATAATAAGATGTATCTATATCTCCAGCCTGGTTATGAAATTCCAAATCTGTCGAAATCGGAAACAAATCAGGTGTGCGTCCCAACCCAAATAACCAACCATAACAATGTTGTTTTTTCTTGACGACCTCTAGTACATCCTTTTTAGTTCCTAGGAGCTTAAGTTCAACTAAATGTGTTGCCTAGCAACATACCTATTTTTGTGTCAGTAATAGAAACGTCAATTCAAGAGCTAATTATGGTATTAAATTGGACTTTTGTGTCGGTTGCAGAAAAAAATAATTATTCATGCAATAGGTAGCAAAAATGTATACCTCAGGTTGGAAACATTGAATAATAGTGTGTTCGGAAACTAATAAAATATATCCATGCACTTTGTTAATTTGGATCGAAATACTCACTTGTACAGGACTCACAACGGAAATCGGACTCATTGGTATGTATACCACAGGGACTGTCCCGATAGCGCTTTCCTGAGAATGTATATTCATTATGTAACTATTATCCATAGTCTTTGAAGAAATATTTTCTGGATCAGTCGTAATAGGTTGCTGAAAAAAAAAACAAATTGTTAGATACCAATAAAACAATAACTTAGTCAAAAATGGCCCACATCTTTCAAGTGATATCTTCTAATGTACCGGTATATCACCTGTTAGCGAAACATGTGTGTTTAAGAATTTTGTGGAAATATTATCGTTCGTGAAGTCACAGTTTCGATCATAATTCTGCATTTGTTTCTGTTCCTGAATAATAAAACACAGTTTTAAATATAAATGCAAGGTACACACAAGATTTTATTGTCAATAAAGTATTGCCTACAAGATTTTCGGTAGTCTATTCCATATATTAGCCGTATGACCCTTTTCTGTAAGGCGAGTTTCGACGAACATCCCCAAATGGCGATATTATAAGAAATATGGGAATATACAACAGCAGAGTAAACATTTAGAAGTTGAGCCTTATTGAAATTGGACCTCAATAATTGTCTAATAGCATAGTACCCACTGTTCACTTTCTTACTGACATGAATTATACTCGACTCCCATGTCATGTTACTATCGATGAAAGTACCTAGAAATTTGGTGTTGCCTGATGGTTCAATTATTGCATCACCCACTCTAACATGCAGATTATCAATTTTTGTAATAGTTCTGGAATAAAACTGCATCAGAACGATTTTCTCTACATTCACCACTAAAGAGTTTTTATTACACCAATTCGTGAACTCGAAGCTCAAGGTGTTTAATTTTTCTTGGAGCGCCACTGGGTTATCTGCAATCGCTGCAATCGTTGTATCATCTGCATACAAGACTACATAATCTGAGCTTATATGATTGGGCATGTCATTGATGAATAGAAGAAAATTGAGTGGACCTAACATAGAACCTTGAGGAACTCCAAGATCAATGTCATACTGCGTCGACTGACAATTGTCGACTTTAACGTGTATCTTTCTGTGATTCAGGTAATATCTGAGCCATGAAAGGAAGATACCCCTGAAGCCAAGTGAATAAAGTTTTTTGCATATAATATCGGAGTCAATAATGTCAAATGCTTTCGATAGGTTGAAGATTGTACTTATGTCAGCGCGATAAATATGTTTTCCTACGACCACCTATGAAAACAGCATAAAACACACAACTTTGATATTTAGAAAGTAGCTCATGTCACCATAGTGATGCAAAAGTTCGAAAGTGATTCTCACGTGTGTTGAAACCTCACGCTCACCACACAAGGTTTAGGAAGGTATATGATGTACTTACTTGGTAATTGAATCACTATAGGTATTTATTATACATTCATTTTCATTAGTTTATAATTTTTATCATTTTGATCAGGTTCATGTTACTTTGCCATTCATAATAAATTGATCAATCATATATCACGAGACAAAACCTCGTTGCTGTCTACAACAGCGCTTGGGTCATCTATCGGGTAAGCTTGTAACTGCTAATGTTAATGTTAAGTTATTGTTAACTTAATGTTGAGCTAATGGTAGGTTACTGTTAAAGTAATGTAAAGGTAACTTTAGTTAATGGAATGTTAGTGTCGATTCAACATTAGTTATTGTCGTTAATGTTGACGTAATGTTAAGTTGATGGAAAGTTGAAATCAAGTTAATTTCAATTGGAAGTTGAATTGATGCGTATTGGCAATTTAGTGTTTATAGTGAAGTTAATGTCAATTTGATATTGAGTTAACGTTAATTTGATTTTAAGGTAATGTTAAGTTAATTTTTAGTTAATTTTGATTCAATGTTGAGTTAATGTTGATTTAATGTTGAGTTAATGTTGAATAATTATTGAGTTAATGTTAAGTTGATGTTAAGTCAATGTTAGGTTAATTTAAAGTTGATGTTAAGTTGATGTTGAGTTAATGTTAAGTAACTGTTAAATTTATGTTAATTTGATGTTAAGTGAATGTTGAGTTGATGTTAAGTTAATGTTGAGTTAATGTTAAGTTCATGTTAAGTCAATGTTAAGTTAATGTTGAATTAATGTTAAGTTAACGTTAAATATTTATGGTCGTAGGAAAAATAGTGCACAAAACTCGTTGGAAAGTGCATTTCCTGCGCTCGTTTCGTTTCCGCACTCGCCCATCTGCGGCTCGTGCTAATCGTCCACTCGCGAAATATGTCACTTTCCACACTAGTTATGTAATATAATATTTCTATTCTATTCTAATATAATGTAATTTTTGTATTCAGGGTTCGATTTTGTAAGAGCGAAGTGCGGGTAACTATGGCTAGTTCAATAGTAATATACCGAGTGTCACTGACCTTAGCGGTAAGCAGTGAGGTAGTAGTTTGTTTCGTGAGAGTCGATGAGTCGTCGTTTTTAGGCAGGATCGCATTTTCTGATGGTTCACTTGCGCTGGCAGCGACATCGGTTGCGTAGGTAGTAGTTTGAGAAAAAGAGTCTTTCTCGTCGCCTTGTCCATTTGGGGACATATATGAACAGTTGGAGCCGTGTTTCAGCTCCTTTTCTTTGGCAGTCTTTCTCTCTGCTATGAGTTGGTGTATATCTTTGCTGCGGCCAGGAACTAATTTCCGTAGTTGAATCTGAAAATGCGACGTATGGAAAACAGTGGCGTACCTACGGGGGGATAAGGGGGATATGCCGATAGAAAAACATCAGTTATAAACTCATAAAGTGAGAATAAGATGGGTTGAACTCTGGTGGGATCATTACATTCCACTTGGCCATAAATGATCAACAAATTCTTATTCTTTCAGTTTCATTATTCAAATAATCTGATACTGATATGTGTAGCCACTCCAATCCAGAGGCGTACTTTTTTGAAGGGGGTCAAATATCTAAAATTCTAGAAATCGCCAGACGTGGAGAATGTAAATCACAACTCCTGAAGCGTACCATTATTTTCAAGGGATGTGAAACATGAAAATATCTTGATTTCTCTCACGTGCAATGTAAAATTCGACTCCAAGGGCGTACCATTTTTTCTGAGGAGGTTAAAATAATAATATTAATAATAATAATAATAATATTATGAAATGTAATTTCATGGAGGATATAAATCGCAATTACAGGAGCGTACCATTACCTCCAAGAGATGTGAAACATAAGAACATCTTGATTTATCTCATGGGCAATATAAAATTCGACTCCAAGGGCATACCACTTCTTCCTTCTGAGGGGGTCAAAATGATGATATAGAATGTAATACCGAAATTTCTTCAACGTGAAGGATATAAATCTCAACTACAGGAGCGTACCATTATTTTTAGGGGGTGTGAAACATAAAAATATCTTGATTTCTCTCATGTGCAATACAGAATTCGACTACAGGGGCGCACCATTAGGGGGGTCAAAATGATAATAATAATAGGAGGATATAAATCACAACTCCAGGAGCGTACCTCAAACAAGCTGTAATAAAGATGTCTTGGAGAAAGTCCAAAAACGTTTTTTGAGATATTTATATGTCAGAGAAAATGATGCTTACCCATATCTAGTGGCATATAAGTCAATGTTAGCTAGCTTCAAATTCCAGTCATTGAGTGATAGAAGAAGCATGTAATATGTGATATTTATAGATCAAATAATAGATCAAATAATAGGAAATACAGAAATTGTCTCTTAATAAACTATATTAGTCAGTAAGTTTCAAAAATTAACTCAAAAATGCAAAATAAGACTAAGTTTCATACAGAAATATCTAGGTGCTCTCCCCTGAACTGTATGTTATGTGAATGCAATAGATTTTTAGAAAATAATGAAGGCATTGATTTGTTCAACACTACGATAAATAAAATCAAGTCAATATATTCATAGTAGTATTTTTTATTCATAAATATAAAATTTTAATATTTCCATTATGTCAATTTTAATGTGTTATGTAGTTTGTGTATGATGTTATATGATCTTATGTACATCCATTCTAATTTTAGCTTTAGTTTAGTCTAGAGGCGTTTTCGGAAACTTACTCGGGTTGTTCGGATCCCTAACCTGAACGTTCGGTTAACCAAACCGAGTTACCTACCTCTGTTCGGAAACTTGAATGATGCTGACTCGATCACTGACTCGGGTTGATTTTTCGTGACCCTACTCAAAAGCAGGGTCGCCAGAGTTGCAAAGGACACCGCATGCGCATTACGGAATTTAAGTCAATCAAAAAACGCGGGAGTTTACATTCGACGATAACAATAATAATAAAATAATTTGCATGTTGGGAAAAATCACGACCGCTGATATAGGTACATGTTCAATCTTCATAATTTGATTAAAGTAATTCATTGAGTAGAGAATTTGGGTAGGGGTGAAGTTTGTGGTTATGTGCAACAACACATATGAGACAAGTACAGGGTGGGCAAAATTGGGCGTTTTCACCGTCTATCTCAATAACTAGAGGAGTTATCGAAAAACCGATATACATGTTCCGGGTTCGATTTTGGAGAAACCTCGAATGGTACATTCAAAATTTCGATATCTTCATTCGTTATAGAGATACAAGGGGAAATTGAAAATTTGCCGATTTCGATTTTATTTTCTGACTACTTTACGGTGAGAGGTATCAAAAAATTTCAAACGTATATTTATACAGTATGATGCGTGGAATCCATTGGTATCATCAGAAATTTTATACAGGGTGACGTTGAGAAAATACGGTAGCCAATTATGTTTTTTCTAATGGAACACCCCGTATATTTTGGCACAGTTGAATAGTCCCAGACGTTCTCATTACAAATATATATATAACCCTACCTTTTCCTTCCACAATTTCAGATATATTCGCAAAAATATATTCAGTGTGTCACATTTCTTATGGTTACACCCCCGTATCTTCTGTAAGAATAATTGATGGAAACATTAACAATCATAATATTTTGTGGCAGAATGCCTGAATATGATACTTTACCCATTATTTCTAGTATGCCTTAATATTTTTGCGTTCAAAGAGATAATAAATAAGATATATATTTGAAATTGAAACGGGAACTTTCCAGCTCTGTCAAAATATACGGGGTGTTCCATAAAAAAAATTGTTCTGTATCTGGAATTTGGACATCTTCTATAAGGCTATATTTTTCAACGCAACCTACTGATTTCCTAATTGAGTAAATTATTGGTCTTATTTCTGTATCTCAAATGTCTTGATAACAATGATATCAAATCGAATAATTTCCCATTTCATTCCTCACCAACTATCCATTTATCTGGAAATTACATTCCTTATGATATTTATTTTCCACATTTGGTGAATATATACAGAGTGTCATTTTCAACCTCGATTCTGCCTGTTGATAGCATTATCCAGGAATATCGATGATTCCATAGCTGCTGGCTGTTATCATTGGAGATGATCCCACTTGGTCCATGACTCCATGAGTTTATCATTAATTTGTATTGTTCTGACAGTTGCGAATTTTTGAATCCTACCTCAATTATTTTTACAGAAGATACAGGGGTGTAACCATAAGAAATGTGACACACTGAATATATTTTTGCGAATATATCTGAAATTGTGGAAGAAAAAGGTAGGGTTATATATATATTTGTAATGAGAACGCCTGGGACTATTCAACTGTGCCAAAGTATACGGGGTGTTCCATTAGAAAAAACATAATTGGCTGCCGTATCTTTTCAACATCACCCTGTATAAAATTTCTGATGATGCCAATGGATTCCACGCATCATACTGTATGAATATACGTTCGAAATTTTTTAATACCTCTCACCGTAAAGTAGTCAGAAAATAAAATCGAAATCGGCAAATTTTCAATTTCCCTCTGTATCTCTAAAACGAATGAAGATATCGAAATTTTTATTGTGCTATTCGAGGTTTCTCCAAAATCGAACCCGGAACATGTATATCGGTTTTTCGATAACTCCTCTAGTTATTGAGATAGACGGTGAAAACGCCCAATTTTGCCCACCCTGTACACCAATCCACAGGTGAATATAAATATTTGTAATCAGATCAAATAATTACTCGAATATAATGTGACCATTTTCGTAAACGTTGAACACGAGTTTTTTGTCACTTGACCTATCTGGATCCAGTTATCAACCCAGAGTAAGTTTCCGAAAACGCCTTAGGTCTAAAATAGTTCTGTCTTTTTTACCTTACATGTAATTACCCCTTCGGGGTGTTTGTAGGAAGTACATGAAATAAAAATAAATGAATAATTTCCAAGGGGAGTGAAACATTGAAATGTCTGGATTTCTCTTACGTGCAATTCGAAAATTCGACTCCAGGGACTTTCTGAGGAGGTCAAAAATCGTCCCGAAAGATAATCTCACTCACCCTGTGATTGGAGCACGTGATCGACCTGGTGCACGGCCCCCTGCTGCCTTCCACCACGCCGCAGTGCGTGTCCGGATCGAACTCCTTCGTGATCTTGGCGCTGCTGTTGCTCTTCCGGGACTTTTTGTGTCTGCTGGAGCTGCCCGAGCTGCTGCTAGAAGAACTCCCCTCCGTGGGGCCGGCAGTCGATTTCGGGGTCGATTTCGATGGCGACAGCACCCTCGGCTCCGCCTTGGGAGGAGGGGTGGGAGTTGGGGCGATAGGGGTTGCGATAGGGGTAGGGGGTGGTGTGGAGGGGATTGCTTTCGGGGGTTTGGGTATTGGCAGTTTGGGGTTGGCCGGTTCCGGGATGGTGACGGGAGGGGTCGGAGGGGTGGTTGACGGGCATGGTGGTTTCTGGAATTGAGATAGAGACCACTTTTGAAAAGCAGTCTCTGGAAAGTACGAAGGCGTTGAAGGGTCACCGCAGTTATTTTTCATAATTCCGATTTAGTATCTCGGAATCATTTAATTTCGACTTAGTATCTCGGAATTCCGACTTAGTAACTCGGAATTCCGACCTAGTTTCTCGGAATTATCAATTATATCTCGAAAATTTCTAGTTAATAAGTCGGAATTCCAAATTACTAAATAGGAATTCCGACATAATGGGTCGGAAAGGAAAATACTCAGATATAATTTATGAAAATAAAAAAAAAATTATATATACAGTGTGTCCCACTTACCATGCTCACCATGGGTATCTTTTTAACGGTGAGAGATACGAGGTCGGTTAAATGACACCAAATATGGAGTTTGTGAAGGCTAACTATAATGTGAAAAAATATTCTGATAAAATCTATCCGTTTTTGTTTTATACGCAAAAAACAGATTTTGATCATTTTCATGTCTCCTCCGTAACTTCTTTATTTATGAAAATAATCAAATAGGAATTTCACATTTTCATGGCAGTTTTCAAAGTGATTTCGAAAAAAATATGAAATTTATACCAACTCTTCTAGAATTTGAGATATCAGCACCAACTTTAGTTTTTCAAAAGTAGGTCATAGCTCACTATGACTTGGTTACAAATAATTTTTTTTCTCTTACAGATGATATGTCGCAGTAATAATTTTGTGTTGATAACAACGGAGTTATCGTCATTTATACAAAAACAAAAAATTATTTGGAAGCCGCCATCTTGAATTTATGAATTTCAACTAAAAAATCATGATCTCCTACCTCAAAAACCCCCCACTTACCAATTTTGAATGGAATCGGACCAAATCTTGTCCGCCATCTTGGAGCAGCCATTTTTTTTTATTTGAAATGTTGAAATTGAAAAAAATTGATGCTCCAGGATGGCGGACAAGATTTGGTTTGATTCCATTCAAAATTGGTAAGTGGGGGTTTTTGAGGTGGGAGAACATGATTTTTTAGTTGAAATTCATAAATTCAAGATGGCGGCTTCCAAATAATTTTTTGTTTTTGTATAAATGACGATAACTAGGTTGTTATCAACACAAAACTATTACTGCGACATATCATCTGTAAGAGAAAAAAAAATATTTGTAACTAAGTCATAGTGAGCTATGACCTACTTTTGAAAAACTAAAGTTGGTGCTGATATCTCAAATTCTAGAAGATTTGGTATAAATTTCATATTTTTTTCGAAATCACTTTGAAAACTGCCATGAAAATGTGAAATTCCTATTTGATTATTTTCATAAATAAAGAAGTTACGGAGGAGACATGAAAATGATCAAAATCTGTTTTTTGCGTATAAAACAAAAACGAATAGATTTTATCAAAATATTATTTCACATTATAGTTGGCCTTGACAAACTCTACATTTGATGTCATTTAACCGACCTCGTATCTCTCACCGTTAAAAAGATACCCATGGTGAGCATGGTACGTGGGACACACTGTATACAGTGTGACCTACTTCTAATGGAAACACCCCTCTATCTTACGTAATAGTTGGGTAAGGATCCTGAAATTTGCTGGAGCGAGAAATATTCCAAAAATGCACTCTATGGCCAAGTGGGGTCATCTTCAGTGATATACACTGCCCGCCAACAGCCATGGAACCACCCCAATTTCCGGAAAATGATATTAGGAGTCAAAATAGGTTGAAAATGATTTGAGATTCGGAATCAGGACGCCCAATTCATTAACAATTCATAGTTTTTCTGGAAAAATTTTCAGTTTGGAAAAATTATTTGTCTCACTTTTCATGGAAGCACCCCCGTATCTCACGTAATTATTGAGGTAGGGTTCTGAAATTCGCAGGAGGAAGGGAAAGTCCAAAGATAAAGTCAATTACGTAAGATACAGGGATGCTTCCAGATACGGGGGTGCTTCCGTAAAAAGTGCGACAAAATTTAATTTTTCAGAACTGAAAATTTTCCAGGGAAAATATGAATAGTTAGTAAATTGGGCGTCCTGATTCCGAATCTGAAGTGATTTTCGACCTATTTTGACTACTAATATCATTTTCCGGAAATTGGGGTGGTTTCATGGCTGTTGGCGAGCAGTGTATATAACTGAAGATGGCCCCACTTGGTCATAGAGTGCATTTTAGGTATATCTCTCGCTCCCAGCAAATTTCAGGATCCTTACCCAACGATTACGTAAGGTACAGGGGTGTTTCCATTAGAAGTGGGTCACACTGTATATAAATAAATACATTGAGAATTCGCATTCTCTATATGATGAAAATATCAATTCTTTCTCGGTTCATTCAACAGAAAAAAACTACTTTCCTGGCTATATGCCACGACGAAACTTCAAACTTGAACGATGCAAACTTATTATTATTATTATATTATTTTTATAAACCTCAATCGCAGATTCGTGATTAAGTTTTCTCAATCCAGAATTTCTTTCCACGTCAATTTATCATACATCAAAAAATCGGAATCAAATAATTCTACGTCACTAAGTTGAAATTCCTACATAAAAAGTCGGAATGAAATTCCTCCGAGATAATAAGTCGGAATTCCGAGATACTTAGTAGGAAAAATGAAAAATAATTGTGGTGGTCCTTCAACGCCTTCATAGATGCCTGATTTCGGTTTGAGTAAGCGTTTTCTACGGTAAGAGGACATTGGGATGTAGACATCACAAAAATATACCATTTCACCGAGAAACGCCTATACAATACAGGGTGGTCAGAAATTCTTCTACTGATCGTTGGTTCATATCATTTTAACCTAAATTATCATCGTTACCATCTTCCTAGGAGATTGACAAAATCGAACTGAGTACTTACAACAGAGCATCCCATTTTGGTTGAGACTGTCAGGTTTCTTGGTTGTTATTGAAAATAGAACCTTGCGGATTTCCCTTTCCTGTCTTACTTGTTCGTGAAACTTATGATGGCAGAATCAGATTTTGCATATCTGTTTCCATATATCGAAGACTGGAACCGTTGGCACGATAATATACTACACTGTTTTACCACTAACCAAAGCGATGTTTTAAACACCTCGACACGTATTTCGCTAACTATGCTAGCATCTTCAGGAGAATATTAAAACTAAATATCCTATTCTAGTGTGCTGCTTATATACTACTACTACTACTACTACTACTATACCTAGTATATAAGCAGCACACTAGAATAGGATATTTAGTTTTGATCTTCTCCTGAAGATGCCGATATGTAGTAGTAGTAGTAGTAGGTGGGGAGGCTGTAGCCAAGCAAGTAGGCCCGATGGGCCCTTTTTGCTAACCCCTGCTCTCCACATATCTACGCTTCCTTTACCTAGATTTCCTTTACGAATCTCCCTGACCTTCTGATGAAAGCCAGTATGTCCGTCCACTCTAATATAATCAAGTCCTCCTGTTGAAGTTTGTCTACTCCAAAGATTTCAAATCTCGGCCTTCCGTACGCCTCGTATTCGCCGAGGAAATGGAGTGACGTTTCCTCGTCTTCCCAGCATCTGCGGCAAGTTGGGTTGTCCTCTACTCCCATAAGTGATAGGTGTCTGCACTCTGCCTAGCCTGTTGTGTCCTGTGAGAACTCCTATGAGGAGGCGAAGTACTTGGCGGTCTCTGCCAAGCAACCACTCCTTCCTTGAGTTGCTTGGACCGGCCATGAATTCCTTGGCCTGCCTGCAACCTGTGATATTTCTCCAGTATTCTCCTAGTGCCTTGTCCGCCCATTTATCGAGGGCTGACGTAATTTGGCTCCTTGATATACCTAGTACAGGCTCCGGACCCAGAAACGGCTCCGCGGATCCGGCTCTAGCAAGTTCGTCTGCTGTTTCGTTTCCGGGCACTCCACTGTGACCCGGGACCCATACCAGTTCAACTTCCTTCGATTCTGCTAATATCTCAAGGGCATTTTCACATTCCTGTACCAATGCTGAGCTCGGTCTGGGATGACAGATTGCCTTGAGTGCTGCCTGACTGTCAGAACATATGTAGATCTTCTGCTCTGGTCCCTCTTTCACCTCTTGTCTCTCTGCTACGACCAGGATGGCGAACACCTCAACTTGGAAAACTGTGGTGTATTTTCCTAGAGCGTAGCTTTCTCGTATGTTTCCCCCTTCGAGATAGATTCCTGTTGTAGGGTCCCTTGATGGAAATTGACGTTAAAGTCATCTTAACAGGGTACGGACAGATCCTCGTCTCCTCTCACTCTAAAGTGTTTGTGAAACAGTTATATAGTTCCATCCTTATTCAATTCTGGGGATAAACACTAGATTTTTGACATTCGTTGTTTTTTAGGTTATATTGAGGGCACTGGCGTATCATACGTAATTTCCATATGGAATTTCTTACGCAACTATACCAAGATATAGATGAACAATCCTCTAGTTTTAGAGTTTACTACTCCAGCAAAATCTTTGCGAGTTAGGGAACATATCAATTGTACTGATGAAAGCTTAATATATTTCACCTAAGATGCCTAGAGACATCTCAATTTCACCAAAAGAGACTGTTCTTAGACTGTATACCAGGGTTGACTGAATTGACTGAATGAATTCTGATTTCAAGCTGAGCAGTAGTTCATCTATGAGCTGAATAAGCAGAGCCTTATGATTGAGAAATGGGGGAAACCTCGGTGTGGGTATCTAAACTACTGTGCTCATGTCATGTGTGCTGAATATATTTTCGTAAGTTCAACTCGGAGAAGAATTTATGGAGTTACTAATATCACACTATGTATAAAACTTCGTCTAGGACGAGAAAAGGCTGAAAAAAGAATATACTCCACCTTATTTTCCCCCTCCGTTGAACAACAAGTCATTTTCGAAGAATTCATTGATGAAAGTAACAAAGAAGTAGGTATACGCAGTATATCTTATAGGCACGTTATTTTCACTCTTGCATCCTACATATTTTCTATTTGTGGTAGAGTGATAATAATTAGATAAACTAATGTCTTTCGCCATATTGAATCC